GCCAGCATATACAGAATCCATGCCTAAAATTCCAGAAAAGACTGCTTTGTTCTAGAAAGGGCATTATCGAGTTTCAGGATTACCGGATAATACTTTTACCTGTCACAAAACGCGTTACGCAGCAACACCACGACTCCGAAGGAGGAGTGCTGTTTCTGGTAACGCGTTGAGTGGTATTCAAAAGGTTATACAACGAACTAAACTTAAATACTTTAAAATTTAAAAAATTTTCTATAATAGAATTTGCTATAAATGCCATCAAGTGCGCTAATCCCAAAAGACTTATCACTTTTTAAGCCTCTCGTGTCTTATGGGAATAATGTACAGTGAGTTGTATAATCTCGTTTATTCTGGATTTTATAAGAATGCATTACAGATATACCTATATAAAGGCCGGTATTAGTTAGTAGTTTGTGTCAGAAGTGCGATATAAGTCGAGGACTACAAAGTGAAATCCAATTTCAGAATAAGTGTGGACAGTTAGTCAGTGTAAGCAGTGATAATTACCAAAAGAGACTGTACCGATTGTGTAAATTACCACGGAAGAGCCCGATTTTGAAGGTGAATTTTCAAGTAAGTTCTAGAAAATTCTATTCGGAAATCAAGGAAGATATCGAATTTGTGACTTCACCAACCTGTTTACTATATCAAGCGACATTCAGAAACGACATTTCAAGAAAATTCTAGATCATTCTATTCGAGAATAAAGCAAGTTATCCAATTTGTTACTTCACTGGCGTGTTTGGAACTTCAAGCAAAGACCAGGAAAGATATTTGAAGAAAGTTTGAGGAAAATTCCAGATTATTCTTGATATGCCTATTACGAGACAACAAGCAAAAATGGAAGAACAAAAAAATTGAAGAACTTCTGCGCAAAATGTTGGAGCTTCAAGAGACCAAACGACAACAAGAAAAACAAGACGAAGAGGCCAGACGACAAAAAGAAAAACAAGAAGAAGAAGCTACATGAAAACAAGAAGAGGCTAGGTGACAACAAGAACGGTAGGAAGACATTGGACAACTGCAGAAAATATTTCAAACCATGCAAGGATCTGTCGCTAACCTGGAATAACAGGTTAAGGAATTTAAAGCCGAATTTAAAGAAAATGTTCAAAGAAGTTGAAGACGATGTTCAAGAAGTTAAAGAAAATGTTCAAGAAGTTAAATACGATGTTCAGCAATTAAGACAAGAAGTTGAGGACTAAGTTCAAGCACTTGAAGATAAGGTGAATAAATTGGAAATACAGTCCATCAATCCAGGTAGTGTTAGAGCATTCCCAAGTATGAAGATAAAACCACCAACTTTTGACGGTTCTACGTCCTGAACCATGTTTATCTGACAATTTTAAGCTGCTGCAAATACGAAAGGATGGAACGATCAAGAAAAAGCTACAGCACTGATAGTGGCGCTACGAGGACCTGCCTTAGACCATCTTCAGTCCATTTCTTCAATCTACCAACAGAATTACCAGCATCGAAGTCAGACATTGGAATCGCGCTTCGGAGACCATTACAGGCAAGAAGTATTTAGAAGTCAAATTGAATCAAGAATTCGAAAATCCGGCGAAAGTTTACAAGAATTCGAATCGGAAGTTACGAGACTAGTGAGTGTTTGGCATTTCCTGCAGCTGGGGAAGACATGTAGGAATGGATGGGAGTATCTGCGTTCACTGATGGTCTCAGAGATTGCAAGATCAAGGAAAACCTGGGAATGTCTAAGTTCAGACGAAGTAGCGAAACCCTTGTCCGAGCATTGGAACTGGAAGCAATCTTTGGTGCCTCACGACCTAGAATACGAGCAGCGTCCATTGAAGACCCAAAGGATTAACAATCGTCAAAAGAGGATGGTAGCTTCGAGAAGGTCATGAGAAATTTTATGGAGAAAATGAAGGAAATATTACTAGAAAGTAGACAAATGAAAAAAGACTTCAAACACCAACACCGAGAAACCGAGTAAAATGTTACCGGTGCCATAGGCTTGGACATATGCAATGGGATTGTAGACTAAGGATGTCCTCTCCATCTAGAGATCGTTCCCAACGCTTTTGGACATCGACCTAGAAACCTGCATGAAAATGCTGAAGCTCTGTCTAGTCGGCCATGCAAAGAAGACTGCAAGCATCATCAAAAAATCGATACCTATTCCTGAAAAAAACACTGTTTCAGCTATGAGAAAAACGGGTCTCATCGTTGATGATAAATTGACTACCAAACAAATAAGAGCGAACCAAGAGGCAGACCAGGACATCAGGCAAATTCTACATGTTGAAGAAAATGATAAATATAGGCCAGAATGGTGGGAAGTGTCGAACAAGAGTTTGATTTACAAGGCGTTGTGGACTCAGTGGAATTTTCTGGCCGTAGAAAATGATTTACTGAAAAGAATTTGGGAAAGTGCCGATGGAAAATCTACTAAGAGCCAACTGGTTCGAAAACATTTCTACTGGTTTCACAATCATGAAGACGTTAAAAACTGGTGCCGAAATACACATTAAATATTAAGTTACCTACTTGGAGTATTTCAATAATAAAAATTGTATATTAAATATTTGATGAGAGACCCATGGCTTAAAACAAGTAATTACTTGTATTTTGTTATTATTCTTCTAAATTTGGCAGACAGCCCTAAAACATCGTTCTAATCACTTTTTCCAAATTACTTTTTCCGCAATTTAGCTATCTAGCCTCTTTTCGCGTTTCCTTACCTAAATTTTCGAATTTGCCGCCGCAACAGTGATCACGTGACCAATGTCAAAATGTTCTTTTAGGTTATCGGACATGCAGGATCGATCGCACATAAGAAAAAATTCCATATCCTACAAATAAAAAAATTCCACATATGTAGCGAACATTATGGGGGACACTGTATATGAAGGCCGGTATTAGTTAGTTGTTTTTTTAAGTTCAAGATTTGCTGTGATATGACTTAGATAGTGATTATTGTTAAGAGTTGTAAAGAGTTAAGTTTTTTGAGTTAATTAGTGAAGTAATTAGTGTCAGAGTGGTAACGTGAAATAAATTGTTGTGTTAATTGGACTTTGATTTTTGAATAAACGGACCCAAGATTTCTGTCACGCACTTCATAGCCGTGGCAATATAAAACTCTTATACCACAGCTTATAAAGTAATAAACGGGGATAGCAATTAGCAATCCCCTCTACACAAGATGGAAATTCTTAAAAAAAACATCTCATGTATAGATATTTACTGATTCTGAATTACATGTTACCAATTCTGAATTAAATTCTCCTATTCCTAGTTTTTGAAATTACATATCAGAATTACTATTCATATTTTCTGAAATTGAATTTCCCCTTTCTGAAATTCATATTCCTATTCTGAATTACAAATTCTCATTTCTGAATGAATACCTATATATTCTGATTAATAATTTCCTATTCTGAATTACAATTGAGAAAGGTTTACTCAAAAAACTTTCTTGAATTTTCACCATAAACTGCGTTCTATGCATAAAAATCATTCACAATCTGCATGCAAATTCCCCAGTTTTGCGAAATAATTCATAATAAAAGCGCCACTTTAAATGTGCATAATTAGAAAGTGGGGCCGTTTGCACCAGGCTATAAACGGTCCGTTTTCCCAGGAAGTTAAAGTTTTAAATTTCTTTTTTTAGAACTCTGTTTTCGTGCTTAAAGAGGGCGCAATATACAGTTTCCTAGGGCGATTTTCTAGTGTGCGACTCTGTTATCCTTTATACGTACAAGTTGTCTTTTTGAAACGGCTTGAAAAATTGATGAATGCTTTGTTTGCGCTTATTCAGAGTAGCCCATCTGAAACTAGTCCTCCATCACACTCATTTGATCAAATTTCACTAAAGAAAATTATAAATAAATTAATGGATTTCTCAAAATTGCTAACCAAATGAATCTACATAGGCAAAATCAGATTACAAATAAGTAGGTACCTATAAAACTGTTCAAGAGATGTAACAGATATCTTTCTGAAGGTTTGTATAATCATCAAAGGTATTCTAACCTTGGAAAAGACAAATATCATAATCACATACAAAAGCAAATTTGCAGTTTTTGAGATGCTCTATATTTTATATAAACGACAACTCTATGTGTGATTCCTTTCAAAAGTTGTGAGATTCTAATTGTGAAGAACATCAAAACTTGAAGTTTCCCTATATAAGATTTGAAGCCCAATATCTCAGAAAATGGAAATTTATCATAATTACATACAAAATCAGTTCTAATTACTCAAATATTGTAATCCATAGAAATAGGACATTTTAATGACGAGTTGAAGTTTAATTATCTGATGAAAATCTGTAGTTAATATATAGATGTGTAAGTAAGTAAATCAAATAGAGCTCAAATATCTAACATAGTTTTATAATGTATCTTGTGTTTCCAAGTTTTCATCTTTCTTATAATATTTAGAGCTGAGCTTTTTTTCAAAACTTGAATAGAGCGACCTCTTTCAGTTTAAGAAATGGAACTGAGGAATAATCCATAAAGCCCTGAAAAACTGGAAGGCGAAGATTTAGGGCCCTCTGTACGTATCTTAAGACAATCGGAAGGTTGCAATGTTTTTCATTTATGAAAGGCCGCTTCAGATAATTTCTGTCGTAGTTAAGTGAGTATAGAGCGGATTGAGCTCTCAATCAATATAGCGCAATTTGCTTGCTCAATAACAGCGACCTCTTTCGAGCCTCTATTGGTTCAAATGACATAGAGCAAATCGATATTGCAGAGCTCTGTATCTATTTACCTTTTGAACGTGAGTATTCATGCAAAGATGGCGCAATAGTTACTAGAATCTTTAAGAAGTTATTTCTAGCGCAGAAAAGTTATAAATTCCCGTCTCATTCGTTAGCAAGATTCTATCTTTGAAACTGTAAGTCCAAATGAGCTGGAGGGTTTGTAGTCCTTGTTGGAAATAAGATACCAACAATAAATTAAAAATAAGTTTTCATTTTTCCGGTATGTGTCTACACCGGAAGTGCGCGTGTGCGTCATAAATTCTTCGTGCATCCGCTTGTCAAGTGTTCGGTAAGTGACTTATTCCTCATAAAAAACAAGAAATTGTAAATAGTGTAAATTGTCGTGTAAATAAATGTAAATAAAAAAAACTACAGTCCACTCTCATTATTTTTAAAGAATCCAACAGTCCTCTAGATACTCTAGCTTCTAGAAATTTGAATCCAAAAGTACAATGGGTACGATCCTCTGATTCCTGATTCCTATCTATTATACATAAACATGATTCTCTAGAGTTTTTGGAAATTTAGCTTCAAAGTTGGACAACAGCAAATCATTAATCGACATTTGGTAATTATTATTAAAATAAGTAAAACATTTACAATATTTATAAAAAAACAATCACAATCACAATTATCACCTATATAAAAAATAAATCAACGTATATACAAATAAAAACAACGAATCGGGAAATAATTCCTAATGTATAGTGATATAGTCTTCGTTTCTGGGCACTGCAACACAAAGTAATCCGCTGACAATCAGCAAAAACCCAAACAAATAAATCGGTATCACACAGTTAACATCTATGAGCGCACCAAACAAAATATTACCAAAAATAGCACCAAACCTGCCACAAGTAGCCGTAATTGTCAAAGCTATAGCTCTCAAGTTTGTAGGAAACAAATCTACCACCACACAGAAAAGTACTGCTTCCAAAATACTGGTCAAAGCTTCAAAGATGCAAGAAACTATTAAAGTTTCATTGGCAGTTGTTACCCAATTTAATGATAACGTGGCTATTCCTGATAATATTAAACTGGAAACTAGTACTGCCTTTTTGCCAATTTTGTACATAAAATAGCTGAGTGAAGCTGACGTAGGGATGCAACTAAGTCCTATTATCACAGTGTCTAAAAATACTTTGTCTTCAATGAAAGGCTGGCAGATTTCGTTATTGAGATTGCGTGAAGTTACGTTTACTTGAGATACTTTGCAAACGCTTACAGTTCGATTCGGGTACATTTGGTTGTACTGACTGAATCGATCGAAGATTTCTGGAAACCACATTACTAAAGTGTAGTAGCTAAAATGAGAAATATTTTATTTGATTAAGAAGGGTTGAGTCATTATACTTTACCTTGCCATTAAGCCAAAGTCAGCTAAACATGTAATAGTTAAATACTTAAAATACTGCTGCGTAGCTAAATTTTTAACTATTTTAAATGAGTCTGAAATACTATCAGTCATTTGATGCCTATAAGAAGTATTGTTCAGTTTACTGCTTGTGATTGATGAGTTATTATTGTCTTCACCTTCAAGGGTTTTGACCTAAAAAAAAACTAAAATCCTTAAGCAAAATGGACATAAATACAAAAAAAAAATCTTACAGGAAAATACTCCATTTTATCTCCGGTATTGGAAGCGTAAATTCGTTGAAACACCAACTTAGCTTTGTCGTATTTGCATTTGGTCATCAGAAACTTTGGGGTTTCCGGTAGAAAATAAATCAAGACTGCGCTGATTATGCTGGGTAAGCTGCAGACCAAAACGAAAATCCGCCAGGGGCTGAAATTTCCGCCGTCTTCGAAAATTTTCACTGTTTTTTTGTTCAACAAAGCCCACGCCACACCTGGAATGGAATGATAATGTTATTATTTGAAATATTAATGTAGAATGGAAGAATTCGTAGAAAAACTAAAAATTTTTGAATTTTCAAGAATGAATGAAGCTATTGTAGTAGATGATTTGGAGAAAAAGCACAAGGAAGAATTTGACTCCCTTGTATTGAATGGAAGATGGAATATGATTTAATAAGTTTGTCATAATCTGGAATATTTAGGATTGATTGAAATTTATCCTATTCTGGAATAGTCCAAGTTTTGATTATTACCGGCGATAGACTAAATGTTGATAATCACCAAATTGAGAAAAGTTGCCAGAGGGAATCAGTAATCAAGAGCTGTTAAAATAGTGCAACTTTTGAATATTCCTGGCTTTTGATTGGGTTATTATTGGCTCTTGATTCGTTGGACTATCTTCCTAAAGACAATCAAAAACCAATAATAATAATCCAAGTTTCTACTTTCACCAGTTCTCTATAGGTATTTGATTCGCTGGAAATTTTTTCTTGAGGCAGGCCACAGTCTATATCTTAATAATTACCGAATTTCGAAAAGTTGCCAGAGGGAATCAGGAATCAAGAGCTGGTAATAGTGTAAACTTTGATTGTCACCGGCTCCTGATTCGCTGGAAAATTTTTCAATTTTTTGGAATTAGTGGTACTACCACGAGCACTATAACTGTTTCGAGCACTCTAACTGTTCCGTATGTAAGATTCCAAAAAATGCCAAAAGATTCCAAAAAATTTCACAAATTTCCAAAAAATGCCAAGGAATTCAAAAAAAAATCCATTTTGGAATTTTTTGGCATTCTGTTGTTAATTTTTCTTGTTTCTTTTATTCTTTGTTTTTTATTTTTGAAGTGAAACTTCTTAGGCGGCGGTCTGATGCCTATTTGGACGAGAATGGAGAGTTATTTGAAAGACGCGTCACGTTTTTGTTGTTTCTTCACACGAGAGAGAAGAAACTGGTAATGGGTAACTTGATGACGTCATCTGAAGTGCCTTATGGAGATTTGCATTATGTTGAGGCACCCCAGATGACGTCATAAAATCTATCATGCAACCTACCTCTCACAAACAGCCTTGGGAGAAAAACAGTCAATGACAATGACAATATAATGAACATCTCTATCGACACATATTTTCATTATTCCTGGCGCTTGAGTGACCTCATAATTTCTATGTCTAACCAATCAACAGCCTGGAATAATGAAGTAAGAAACTGCGATATAGAAAATGGAATTAGTGAGAAAGAGACGGAGATGAAGTGGGAACAAAATAAACGTAAAACTAAATAATTTTTGGGTATTCCCCGCGCTCGACTTTCAAGTGACTTAATCATGGGCTTGAAATAAGACTAATAAGAGAGTGAGAGACGACTTAGGAAACACAATAGGAAAGAAAGAAACGTAGAGAAAGTAGGAAATTTTCGATTTTCCTCAAGTGATTGAGTGATTTTGTGACTTTTATGCTTGATCAATCAAAAGCCTGGAATGATAAGGGAAAGATAATATAACATGAGATTCAATAAAACAGACAGAAAAATAAAGTAAGAGACAGCGATTTAGAGAACTAAACGAGTGAAAAAGAAACAGAGATAAAATAATATCTCCATTTTGTTTTAATTGCTTAAGATAGAAAAGGCTATTGATATTATTTTTCAAATTATTTTTATAAAATTCTAACCATTTTACATACTTACCACCTACTCGGATGTATTTATAAAATTTGCAAAAACGCACCTCAAAATTTTAGTATTTTAACTGCCTAATCATTAGCGCAATTCCATCTTCATTCCGTTTTAATCGCTTAAGAAAGACAAAGATATAAATATGTACTCAAGTGTGAGGTGGAATAAGTGTAGTATCTTTGTCCTTGTCTTTCTTATCCCAATAAACTGCAATAGAGATAAATAGAGTAAGATGGTTCCTTCTTCATCATAGGTTCCACCCTGTGGGTGCGAAAGAGACAACACTATACATCGGTTTTGCGGGTGTGAAAAAGAAAGCAACATGTTTAGCATTTCACAGTTCTCTACAACATGCTCATGATTTTCTTCTCACTCGATTTCTTCCACTTCTTGTCTCGCTTCTTGGTTAACCTGATTTCTAACTTCTACTTCCACTCCGCCAAACAGTGAAAATGGAACTCGATAATGATGACGTCACTGATTTTGGCGAAGTGGAAGTAAAAGTTGGAAATCAGGTTGAACAAGAAGCAAAACAAGAAGTGGAAAAAATCAAGCAAGAAGCAAATTATGGGCATGTTGGAGAGAACGGCGAAATGCCAGACATTTTGCTTTCTCTCTCACACCCGCAGAGCCTATGTATAGTGTTGTTTCTCTCGCACCCACGGGGTGGAACCTATGATGTAGAAGGAACCATCTTACTCTACTGAGATAGTATTTTCATTATTCTTGGCGTTTGAGTGATTCTATAATTTCTGTGTCTGGCCAATCAAGAGCTCGGAATATAAAAGAAAGACAATGATATATGAAATTTATTGGCAAAGAGCGAGATGGAGGGCGGAGGCAGAATAGAATGGACATCTATCGACACATATTTTCATTTCATTATTCCTGGCGCTTAATTATACCTTGTAATTTCTATGTCTAACCAATCAAGAACCTGGAATAATAAAGTAAGAAACACAATAAGTAAGAAAGAGACGGATATAAAGTAGAAAAAAAATTTGTGACCCAAATTTTGAATATTCTTGGCGCTTGAGTGGCCTTGTAATTTTTGTGTCTGACAACGGTCTGACCAATCAAGCGCTTGGAATTATAGAGTAAGAGACAGCGATATAGAAAATGGAATGAGTGAGAAAGAGACGGAGATAAAGTGGGATGAAAATAAACGTGACACCAATTTTTGGGTATTTTCGGCGCTCGAGTAGCTCAATCATGGGCTTGAAATAAGAGAGTGAGAGACGACATAGGAAACACAATTAGTGAGAAAGAGACTGAAATAAAATTGTGTCACGGACTCTGATTATTCTCGACGCTTGAGTGGCTTTGTAATTTTTATATCTGACCAATCAAAAACCTGGAATAATAAGAGATAATATAAGAGATTTGATGAAAAAGATAGAGATGGAGACATAATAAAATGAAAACTTTTTCAGACATATTTTCATTATTCCTGGTGCTTGAGTGATTCTATAATTTCTGTGCCTGACTGGATAATAAAGTAAGAGACCGCGATATAGAAAATTGAATAAGTTAGAAAGAGACCAAGACAAAGTGGGATAAAAATAAGCGTGACACTAATTTTTGGGTATTCCCGGCGCTTGAGTAAGTCAATTTGGGATTGATATCAGAGAGTTAGAGACAACATAGGAGAGACACCAAATAAGAAAGGGACGGATGAAAATTTGTAATACGAATTTTGATTATTCTCGGCGCTTGAGGGGCTTTGTAATTTTTGTGTCCAACGAATCTGAATCAAAAGCCTGAAATATTGAGAGGAAGATACTGATATAAGAGATTCAATGAAAAATAGAGAGATACAGGCATAATAGAATGAAAATGTATTGAGACATAATATGTATATTCATTATTCTTAGCGCTTGAGTCATTTCATAATCTTTGCGCCCGACTTATCAAGAGCTTGAAATAATACGCGACAGATATAAAGAAAATGGAATAAGTGAGAAAGAGACGGAAATAAATAAATGGGATAAAAATAAACGTGACAACTAATGTTTGCTCGACTTTTGAGTGTCAATAATGGGCTTGAAATAAGAGAGTGATAGACGATAGGAAATACACTAAGAAAGAAAGAGACGGAGATAAAGTACTAGGGCCGTAGCTAGAGTCAAATTTGTGATAGGGCATGACAAATTTAACATAGGGCATACACTACTTGCCCCCCCTCCCTTAAATTATAGGTAAACGTTGGTAAACAATCTGGTGGTAATGGCGCCGAAGGCAAATTTTTCAATAAATAACATCTCTGGCAAGTAAACAAAATGGCGCTGATTCTCGCGCCGCTTTGGACCATTCGCACCAAGGATAATTCACACTAATAGTGAAATCCATTGGTAAGTCCAGTGCGCACTGAGTGCATTCATGTCCTCTTCTACTAGCATGTAAAAGAAAGTGACAGAAATACATTTTTTTTGCACTAATTTCACCAATGGTTTCCGCCATAACTACTACTACTATTACAGGATAGCTTATCATCATAAGGCCTGCCTGTGTATATATCAAATCTCAAGCCCCCACCACGCCAAAGAACCAGTGATTACGTAGGCAGCGTGTCGTTTCTCGCCTTGACGTAGGGTGTTTTCACCACAAGTTATGATCCCATGATAACATTTTTCATCATAAATGTATATTCTAAACTACGACCGTTCGCGCAAACAGCTGAAGATGTAGTTGATTATGTCGTTAATAGTGTTACACCATATGGCCGCAATTTCCACAAATGAGGCCGATAAGCAATCCTGTGTAGTAGTGTGTATTATCGTATTATCCTTGCATTTGCACTCTTTCGGAACGAAAAACTTCCTCTGTGTAAACTTCAAACATTGTTGCATACATTTAGGAGTTTTCGGAAACACTTATCCCCGCACTTACTCGATTTCAGGGCTTTTCATTATCTGCTCTCAAACTTCCTAGAGAAACCTTAACGCATGTTGCGTTTTAAAGGTAGGGCATGATCATTTGAAAGATAGGGCATTGCCCCCCAATGCCCCCCTGGCTACGGCCCTGTAAAGTAGGGAATTTTTGATTATTCTCGGAGCTTGAATGACTTTGTAATTTTTGTGTCTGATCAATCAAAAGCCTGAAATAAGAAGAGAAAGATAATGATGTGAGAGATCCAATGAAAATGAGAGAGATAAAGACATAATAAAATGATACATTTTTGTCTGACCAATCAAGTGCCTGGAATAAGAGACAACGATACAAAAAACTAAATGAGTGAGAAAGAAACGGAGATAAAGTGGGAAAAAATCATATTTCCATTTTGTTTCAATTGCTTAAGATAGAGGGGGACAATGATATTCTTCAAATTATTTTATAAAATTCCTACGGAACCCGGGCCCCACTAATTTATACCGGCCGCACCCCCCTATGCAGGGCCCTAATTCTCAATCGCCGATACCCTTGTGACGTCACTACAGATGTAGTGACTCATACGCTAAGTCTAAGTTGTATGAGGAAGGAATCGTTTTTAAGAAGTTTTACTTCTACCATGTGTGCGGCGCTACACATGATCTTTTTTTCTACCGAATTTCAATTACAATTTTATCCGCCATTATGCACAACATGGACACAGATGATAGATGAAGCACTCTAGAGTGCTCAGAACAGTTAGATTGCTCAGGATAGATAGTGTGCTCGGAACGGTTAGAGTGCGCAGAACAGATAGAGTGCTCGTACCACTTATTCCAAAAAACCCTAAACATTTCCAAAAAATTCCACTTTCCAAAAAATTCCACTTTTGGAATTTTTTGTCATTTTTTGGAATATTTGTATTTTTTTTTCAAATTAGTGATACGAGCACGAGCACTGTATCTGTGTCAAGCACTCTAACTGTTCTGTATGTAAGATTCTAAAAAATGCCAAAAAAGTCCAGAAAGCCCCAAAAAATGAAAAAATAGAATTTTTTGGAAATTTTAGTAGAATTTTTTGTAATTAGTGATACGAGCATTCTATCCGTTCTGCGCACTCTAACTGTTCCGAGCACCCCATCTGTTCTGAGCAAACTAGCTGTTCCGAGCACTCTAGGCAATCAAGAGACAGTAATAATCAAAATTTGATTCTTGATTCGCTGGGATAATTTTTCTCTAGGCAATCAAAAGGCAGCGATAGTATAAATGTTGATAATCACCGAATTTAAAAAAGTTGCCAGAGGGAATCAGGAATCAAGAGCTTGGTATAGTGAAAATTTCGAATATCACCGGTTCTTGATTCCGCTATTATTGGCTCTTGATTCGCTGGAAAATCTACGGCAACAGCTGGTATAATAATCCTTATGGGCTTTTTTTCGAGGCAATCAAGAAACGGCGATAGGTAGTCTAGTCTAAATGTTAGGGAATCAAGAATCAATAGCTGGTAGGTAATGGTGCAAACTGTGATTCCAAATTTGGACTACAACCGGCTCTTGATTGTCTTTAGAAATATTGTTCACCAAATGGAGAGCCATTAATAATCAAAGTTTAAACTATTACCGGCTCTTAATCGCCTTTTTCTAAGTGCATCAAGGGCCAAGAGCTCGTTATAAATGAAAGTTAGGCTATTCTAGCTGAATGTTTTTTCTACCAGCTCTTGATTGCTTTTAGAATGACTGTCCAGCGACCACTAGCCGATAAGAATGCAATCAAAAGCCAGTAATATACCAAATTTGGACTACAACCGGCTCTTGATTGTTGTTGTTGTTGTTGTTGTTGTTGTTGTTGTTGTTGTTGTTGTTGTTGTTGTTGTTGTTTGTTGTGTACCAAAACTGTTCATGTACATGCTTTATTGAAGAAAGTAGTGGATCAAGCTAGTATACGTATGCAACCGGGTTTTAGGAAGAAATATTCCACTGAAGTTTCCAGTCAACATATCTTTAAAATTTGGAAAAGAAGTACAGGGAAGAATCCACATTGTTATTGTTGTTTTCTTGGATTCTAAAAGGGCTTGCGAGATAATAGATATAAGATTTAATTCCACGTTGTGGACGTTCTTCATAAATCGCGCAGAATTTTAGTAATAAGACAACTTACCTGGCAAAATTAGGACTCCAATGTTCCAGAAAATTTCAAGTTTACCCAAATATTTGTCTCTGTGCTTCACTGACAGAAATTCTCCCATGTATGAGAATATTAGACTTGTTGCGCCAATGATTCTACAACAATTTAGATTTTTTATAACAAACATAAATAATTATTAACAAAAAAACTTACCCAAAACCATTGAAAAACCTACAAACCAAAAACAATGTGTAACTTTGAGCTAGAGAGGAAATTACTGCGGCAAAAAAGTCCATCATTAGTGAAGTGAGTATTGCGATTTTTCTACCGTGTGAGTTTGCTAGAGAGCCCCAAAGACAGCAACCAAAAAGCATACCTACAAAAGTGATAAATATTTATATTATTTTGTATAACCAGCATCGGAAAAGGTAATTAGCATTCGCGATAATAGGGTAGACAAACAATAATTACATAAAAAGTGTTTTCCCATAAAATCTTAACAAAAATACATTGGCGACTAGGATTAAATTAATAATAATAATATCAGTGATATCGGGATTTAGGCGTCTGTAAGACGTCCTTGTAAAAAGTGCGTTCTAACTTCTAAGTTTTAAGAAATGTAGTCGTCGTGAGCAAAATAAAATAATATTAAAAAAGCTTGTGCATTTTTATAAATATTTTTTTAAAAAAAATGTACAAAAGTCCTGCGAAGAAGCATGTTGAACAATTAAATAATAAGCTTTATGTAAGTTCATAATATGTTAATCAAATTGGGAAACATTGAAAAGAAAATGAAAATAAAAAAACAAGTAAAAGACACTGATAGAAAGGAAATGTTATAGAAATTGGTACAAAATGTCTGCAAGGTGAAGATAATCCTGGTATTTTTTCGATCGGAACGAACTGATTGTAATCACATGAGGTTTGCTCATGAGGCGTCAAAAAAACAGCTGGGACCAATGAAATCATTGTAAAATCGGATGAAAATTGTTTGAAACAAACCTCAAGTGACTTCGATCAGTTTCTTCAGCTCGAAAGAATACTTCTAATGCAATCAATATCTTTGAGTTAAATTTTTGCCCAAACCTTTGAAACAAAACTTGAATATAAATAGATATTTTGTCTATCCCATTGTGACATTGGCACAAAAACCCTGTACTGTATTTGTTATTAACTTACCAACCAGTGGCATTGCTGATAAATGGCCTTTATCAGCCGAGGATAAATCAAAGTCGCATTCCGCCGAAGGTAAAACGAACGACAACGTTGTTGAGCTTATGGCACAGGTGGCGTAAACCGCTCCGCTAACACATAGCAGAATTTTTTGGAACTTTCCAACACCTATGGAAAATATTTTTGGTAAAAGCTAGAAGAACTACTATACTAGAGTGTACTTGCCGGCGTAATTTATAGCTGTTTCGAAGTCACTGTCGGTTTCTTCTATGTAGTTTCCAGTTCCTAAAAAAGAAACAGAATGATTTTTCCATATGAGTCACATATGATACATAATAATATGTTCATATATTAACATTGATTTTGAGATGTTGTGTAGACGATTTCTCTAAACTAAAATATAGGGTTAGGTATAGCTTCTGAGCAAGTACATTCAAAAGTTGATAATATTACCTATTTTTTTCGAGTCAAACATTTTCTCAATAAAAGCAAATTGATATCTTGAAGACTGTATATAGGTAAGTTGTGGTGGACAGATTGTACTTTTTTTATGTAATTTAATAAAGACAACAACAAGTCCTAAACTATCGGAATTCCAAAACACAAAATTTAAAACAAAAATTCTTACCTTTATCAAGGTCAACGTCGACAAACACTCCGCTATTAAACATCATACTGCTACCTTTATCTGTTCTTGACCAAGTCAGGATATAAACTAAATACAGACTTTAATAAAATAATAACAATAATAAATGTTATTGTTGCATTGGAGCGATAGTCAAAGCCCCTTATACATATATACTTTTTGTTTATTGCTTGTGTAAATAAACATTACTGTAGGTTTGTTTCCATTTTGAGTCAAGGGGAAAATTTTTGCATTGCATAATAGAGTCATTAGGAAGGGGTTGTTTATACAAGGTATAGATATAATAGTAGGTTGGATAATTATTATTTAATATGCGGAATTCGCATTGTTTTCGAAATCGTTCAGGGTGTCTCAAAAAAATGGAAGGTTATCAAAATTAGCTGCAACTAGTGAGATAACTTATTAATCATGAACAAACTATGATTTTTTCTTCAAGGGATTCGGATACAAAAAGTCGAAAAATGGGCGTAGCCAGTGCATTAAAAATGTTCCAGTTTGCAGGTGGATTAGTAGAGATAACATCATCTCGAAAATATAGGTCAACTGGCGATTTACTTACATACGTCACTCACTTATGGCAAACAGCGATTGAGTTGCGGGGTGAAACAAGAACAATTGCCTTAGATATATCTAAAGCATTCGACAAAGTTTGGCATGAAAATCTGCTCAACAAGCTCAAAGCAATGGGATTATTGCCGAAACTTTGCACTTGGTTTGAAAGTTACCTAAAGGACAGATCCATTTATGTTGCACTGGATGGCCAGAACTCCAACTCTTACCAAATAAATGCTGGTGTGCCACAGGGAGCAATCCTTTCGCCAACTCTTTTTCTGATTTACATAAATGACCTCATAGATAAAACAGTAAATCCACTTTATTGCTTTGCAGACGATGGCAATGTAGTCTCCTCACTCATACCACCCACAGGTCTTTCCGCACGTGAATTCCATCATCTTAGACTAACTCAAATATCGCAGATAAATAACGACCTGGAGATAATAGAGGACTGGGGTAACAAAAACCTTGTACAGTTCAACGCGCAGAAAACTCAAGCAGCTCTGTTTTCAAAAAAGACCAGCACCGGTGAGCCAAACATCATGCAATCTGGAAGTGCTGTCACATTACAGAGTCAGTTGAACATCTTGGGGGTTACTGCAGAGTCTGCAGAGTGCATGTCTTGGCACAATCACGTGGCAGATATTGCTAAAAGGGCGTACAAGACATCTGTACACACCAAGCCAATTGCTGACACTCTACAAAGCCCAGATTCGACCAACTATGGAGTACTGCTCACATATATGGAGTGCAGCACCCAAACATACCTTAATGCTTTTGAACACCGTGCAAAAACGAGCTATCAAGCTGATCAATGACCCCGCACTTACTCGTAACATGGTCTCGAACATCGCAGATCTGTGGGCGATTTATCTCTCTTCTACAGGTACTATCACGGAAAATGCTCTGAAGAGTTGGCTCGTATGATTCCACCGAGAGTAGCGCCTACCAGGCGAACCCGTCAAACAGACGGTAACCATGAATTTACTGTCAAACTAGAGGCACCAAGAACCTCATTATATCAGAATTCATATCTCTGGAGAACAGCATCGCTGTGGAATAAACTCCCTGCGACGGTTTTCCCTGCAGGTTACAACCTGAACCGTTTCAAGACCAACATACACCGACATTTCCGCGTACTTGCCGCTTCTCGAGCGTGATAGGATATTCCCTTGCGAGTGCGCATATCCGTAAAAAAAAAAAAAAAACATATAATCCACCTAACTAATACACAGGCTACATGAATCATCTTGTATACATATATACTTTTGTATTTACGTTCTTACCTGTAATAACGGCCGCTTGTGGAAGGTCCGCTTATGGTGGAGCACCCCATATGAACTATAAGTCCAAATGGGCGGAAATTTTCAGGGTTTATAATCTTCTACTAAAAAACTGAAAGTTTCAGCTTTCTATCTATGATAGTTTTGAAGATATTACGATTCTTCAAAGTTTTAAGAAATTTATATCCCCAGCTACCTTAGTACTACAAAAGTGATGGAATTTCGAATTTTTTATGTCTAGCAGATGTCTTTTCTATGACTTGTTTTATGCAAAATTCGTTGTCTGTACCTGGTCCTCCTGCTCTTCTTCTTGTTTCTCTTTATAATCTTCTTCAATGAGATCGCGCATAAAGAAAATGTTGGACGAAAAACGCATCTGCCCAGTCTCTGGTCATCGCCTATTTGTGTGGTTCCAAAGAAACAGGATGCTTCTGCCAAAACAATAACAAATCTCTATCGAATATAACGTAGGTACCTATTAGACAAATAAGGAAAATGCCAATGTACTGATGAAACAGTAATAGAAGATCAAGATATTCTTAACCATCGTAGATAAAATGTTGTACTTTACAGGTATGGTAAAACCTATATTCTTACTACAACTCGTGTGATTTCCTGATAACGTGAAATAGGAAATATTTTTTGGCTGGTAATCTCTATAGCTAGCAGAAGGTAGAGACGAAATACAGGGTGTAGATACCAGTAAAAACGAAACAGGCTAAATATCTGATGCCACGTTTATTTAAAAAAAACAAATCGCTTGTACACGTAATTTAATTTTCAAAGGGGGAAGTTTTCTGCAACCGTAGTTTAGCACTTCAACTTTAACCGTCTAGGAAGGGTGGGACCAACCCTTACTTTTTCAAATTAAACAAGGGGTCGAGTGATACTTCTTTTAAAGAAGCGTTCAATTCTCTTTCATTTGAAAAAAAATGAACGCTCTTTTAAAACAGGTATCACTCCACCCCTTGTTCCATTTGGAATGATAAGGGTTGGTCCCACCACTCTCACCCGCCCTAAGTCAGTGCTGAAAATGTTTCAAACACTCACACAATCAAATCACGTGTACGAGCGATTTAAAAATAAAAAAAAGTAACATCAGATATTTAGCCTGTTTCGTTTTAAATGGTATACCCTATATAATAAAATCATTATTTATGGCAATCAAAACAACTGTGGTGGGTATATTTTTCTGTCTAGAATTTCTGGGATAATCCCACTGATATACTTATAATCTTCTGTTCCTGTTTGTGAAAGAAGGGACACGAAATTCGATATTTTCATAAGACAAATATAATATCTACTGTTAAGAACGTTCATAGGAGAATTCTCATTTCTGTAGAATTTTTTTGATTATTTTCTCTTTCACAGAGGTAGGATAACAATAACCATAATAATTTTTAGAAATCATCTTTATTTCTCATTTTCAAAGGTTGATTTTGCTGATTTTTCCATTTACACAAAAGGTAGCTTTAGAATCTCTATAATACCAACCTACATTTTATTTCTTTAATTTTTTTCAAAAATGAGGCACGGTTCTTAACTAAACCCTCAGGGAGTATGGTTTGTACTTTAAAGGTCATAGTTTCCAGTAACAAGTGATGTGTAATTCTTTCTGGAATCTTCCTTTTCAGATACAAGTTGTTAAATTTCCACAAGATTTTTTTTCTTATTAGTTTGAAGCTTTCACAATGTGATTTCTTCTAAGAGAGGCTATCGCCATTAGAATCTTGTTAACTACCTGTCATATTCTTTCAGGTTCAAAATTGTTGAGAAACCAATTGGGTTGCCAGATTGTGCCTTGAACTCAGTTACTTTCAAGCTTAAAGACCATAAATTCAACTTCTATTTGAATTAGTTTGATTCCATTTGATTAATTGAATCAAATGATTCCATAAATTTGACTCAATCAAGAGCCTGGAATAGCAACAAATTGAATTTTCAAAATAAATAATTTGTGTAAAAGTTCCAAAAGGCTCAAGTCTAAAATTTCCAGAAAATGGAATTGTAAGAGAAATATTGCCAGGTTGTGCATTAAATTCACTTACTTTCAAGCTTACATTGGACTTGGCAAGCGAATAAAAAAGAATGACATAGAGAAAACCGCACCGCATTCAATGCGAATTTCTAATCCATTTGGACTACAGAACGCCCCAGCCACTTTCCAAAGGACTTTGGACAGTATCTATACAGGGTGACCCACTAAGGTCGGCAAGGTACGATATTATGGAAACCATAAACCGTACGGCTTTGGGATTTTTTTTTTCTCCACTAAATCGGCCAAGAGAAATTGATGGAAATTATTTTCAAGTTTCTAAGATGACCGCTAGGGGGCGCAATTACGATGATATAACTAAAAATTCAAATTTTCTTAAGAAATCGCCGTATTAAGATAATGTTTCAACAACAGAAATTAAAAGTTCATTAATTTTTGCACCAGTTTGGTCATTAGGCTTTTTTTGTATCTTCACTAATAAGGGTGGGAAAATTGGTGAAAAAATAGTTTTATAAATTGCTGTATCTTCCATACCATTTGTCCAAACTCATTTAATTTGGGCTCATTTGAAAGAGAATCTCATTGTTATTAAGAACACCACTTGGTCCGGGGTGGATAGTTCCCACCGCGTCTTCTAAAGGGTTTTAATTTGACACTTTCCGTATGAGGAGCGGAACGCGGGGAGGAAAAATCCAGCAAAAATAGGTAGTGAGTTCAGGTGACCATTGGCGTGGGGAGCCACCAACTTCCATTCCTTTGGAGTATCACATCATAAAACTTGGACAGTAAGTTATACTCCTCCATATACTTCCCAGCTTAATGGTGTACCAATGGACAAAGTAAGATCTATGACAATGAAAGCAAAAGTGCATAGAATATTTTGGGAAGATCATGTTGCACTTGTTGCTAAGTAAACTGATTTAAAAAGACACATAAAAAAATATCAACAAATTTTAAGTAAACCTCGCTAGCACAACCACTACTGCAAATAAAGTCAAGCTGATCACTGAAAAAATAAATAATTGAAAACACGACACATTGAACTAAGAGAGAAAATTACCAGTTTTGGATGCTATGCAAATTTTCAAAAACTCTAAGAAAAAGTATTGTCCTAACACTTGCGCAAAGTGTCTTTTCCGCACTGAAAGTTTATCCGAACTCCGCTTCGCGTCGTTCTGCGGGAAAGTATCACTTTACGCACTTGTTAGGAAAATAACTATTTTTATGTAAGTATTACACACCTTTGAATTTACCTTTTTTAGTTTGGTTTTGTGTTATATGTTACTTGTTTCTTGAAAGTCGATTTCTGAGGAAAATAAATAATTTCAGTTATAAACGTCTTCTCGTTTCAATGAGTAGTACAAACATTTTTTCACTGGCGGCTCATCGCAGGCATACGGAACCATGGCACTACCTTATTTTTCAATAAAAATATTTTTTTTGTCCTATATAAGTATTAGAAGCGCGCGAATATGCCATCAAGATGTGTGATTTTAACGATTTATGGGCGTGGCACCTCAAAAAAATTTCCGCCTCCGGCGAGCATCTGGTTTGCCCCCCCCCCCAGAGCCTCATGCTGGATACGCGACTGACAAATGTTCTTGCTCAAAAGTAATATGCAGGACCTCCCTAAGTTATATCCAAAATTTAAACTTTCTACGAGTCTCAGGGACGTAGAAATACAAATTTAACTAGAGCTATGTTTTGAAGAAAAAATAAAGAAATTAATTAATAACTCGAAAATCACTAGAGATAGGTATAGGACAGTATCATACAAAAATGATCAGAAAGTAATAGCGGAGCGAAAAATGCAATAATATACAGGGTGTCTCATTTAAAATTTCAAAGTTCATATTACTTTTTTGGTATAAGCGGCAACGTCGCATCATTGAAATTATTTTAGAATGATAGATCAGGGCTGCGTTCAAAAATGGCTAAAGCCGAGCCAAAATTGGCATATTGCGTTCAAGTTCGGCTCCAGCGTGCCAAAAACGGTTGGCTTTACACGTTCCAAATCGGCCGCGGTAAAGTAACTTTTGGAGGCTCTTTCAACTGAGTCTAGAAATGGTTATACGAATTTTGATTGGATGAGACCAAATTCAATATGGCGTGGCGGCCAGCAAGTTAGTTTTGAATATGTGTTTTCATGCATATTTCAATTACCTATTTTGTTTGTTTGCAGCTTTGATTTTGATTATTCAATACAATATTTGTTAACTAAGTACGTAAACTATTAAGTCGGGCAGAAACTAGATATTTTTTGTGTTTTTTGGTCCATTTGTGGTCGCCACGCTGACGCCATCTTGAATGTTACGTGGTTTGGATTGCCGAATTGACAAACGGTATTTGGCGTTCCAGAAAATTCACACCAGATTTGGCATCGCCGGTAGAAAAGGAATAGTAGGTTTTGGCATTAGCATTGCCGTCTTTGAACGCACTCCAGGAGCAATTACTTGGGCATGCAAATTTTCATATATAATATCACAAGAGAAAAAATTTTGTCGGCAAAATTTTCGAAAGGTATGAAAGTTTGTGGCTTGGCAATTTCGCACATGACATTTTTGACAAAATCACGAGCCGTCAGGCGAGTGATTTTATCAAAAATATCATGAGCGAAATTGCCGAAAAGCAACAAACTTGAATAAAACCTTGAGAACAATTTTGCCTACACAATTTTTTCTCGAGTGGTATTCGTCATGACTATTTCACGTAAGATTTTGAAATAAATAGAATGCAAAATTATGAATAAAAACTTCAAATTAAAAATACCAGTTTGACAATGTCAAAAGATGGTCGCTGAAATACCATGTTGTTGGTATTGTCCAGGTAGCGTTATTGTCAGGTGAATACCGAATTTATTGCTGGTGTAATACACTCTAGTGAAATAGTCAAAAATATCCAACATTCCGTTTTCCATAAACGGCTAACCTACCATCGACTATCAATCACCCTGTATACTACACACAAGCCAAACAAAAACAAACACCAATGGAACAAAGTGATTAAACATAAAAATACATAAATGTGAAGCAACATCAAAATTTTTAATTATTTTGAAAAAGGGGCAAGTCAAAGCACCAAGCACATGTAATATGTGTGTAATTATAAGAAAGTGCCCGTAGTATGGGATAAAATTTCCGGTTTTTTCCTTTGCTTGTTTTATGAATAATAGTCAATATAAGTACCTACCACAAAAATTGCCTCAAATAAGTAAACTTTTATCCAATTAATTACTTATTATGTAAACACTATACAAATCCAATAAAAGCAATAAACATATTTAATAACAACTTTTATTTATAACAAAACGTATAAATAAATCCTTATCTATATTAATTTACGTAAAAAATCAAATCGGTTTGAACTATGCATTTAAATTGAACTTTTTGTTTACACGCAATGCATTCATTCATTTCACGGATATCTTTGGTCGCTAAAAGCTGCAATATAACAAATAACCCCCTCAAAAGGTACGGGCTGGTTGTTGTAAAACTTCGAGGGTGCTGAGGCTTTATATTTATCCGCCTCTTTTGTAGTATCATCCAGAGTCGACTTGTCCAGCCATGCCATGTTATCGCCGTTAGCCACAAGGATTTCTTCGTAAATTTTCGGATCAACCAGGTCTCTTAAAGGTTCAATTTCGGCTGGAGGTTGCCGATTGAAAGGTTCGCGGATTTTTTGACATTGGAGCATCATTAGCATGAAAAACATGTATTCGTCGCGCATTTCCAGTTCCTTATCGGTTTTGGTTAATTCTTGGATTCTGGTGAACCAGGCTCTGATTGATGGTTTCTCTGAAAAAAATACAAATGATAATGTTTGCTGAATTATTATTAGTTCTTATACCATGTGTTGGTAAAAGCTGCACCAATGCTTTGGCCAGCATGTTGTTGTAAAAGAAATTTGTGTATGACATTTTTGTACTACAGATTTTAACAAAAAAAGTCTAAAAAGTATGGTATGACATTAAAATAATTCAAATATGACATTTAGATTTCATAAATTAAAAAAAAAAATGTCTTTGTGTGTCATTAAATTTCTGTACATAAAAATTTGAAAAATGCAAGACAACGAAGCGAGATTGAAAGATTTGGAAGACGCGAAGATCGCCCTCATCAACGAAAATTTTCTTTTCAATTACGAATTAGTTATGCAGCTTCAAGAATTTTTAGTACCAAGGGGTAAGTAACTAAAATGGTTATTACAAGGGTGCATCTGATATGTACAACATTTAATATGTGGCTTTGCTTTCATTTGGATCGAGATTATTCATGTAAGTTGTTACTAAAAATCATTAAAATTAAATTGTATAATTAATTCTTTTTTCATCATAGTCATTGCAATAAATGATGAAGTACTGAAGTCACAATTTTTCTACGTGTAGGTACTTACAATTTTTCTTTAATTTTACTAAATTATTCTAATAAAATAATTCTTTTGATTACTTAGAGCTTACAGCATGTACAGGGTGTCCCATTTAAGATGGTATTGGAGGTTATCTGCTAAACTCGTAGAGGTAGATGTTTTTCGATTTCACCTTCTTGGGCTAATTTTTTATGAGGAATCGAATGCCGCAAACCGCAGGTATCTTATTCCGTTCTGGAGATACAGGGTGAAACTTGAAATTTTCACTTTTCCAGGGTAGTCATTATCTAGCGTATGAGAAAAGATATCGGAAAGGTGAAAATTGTATCTGACGCAGTTTTTTACGTAGATTTCATTGCTGTATTGCAATTTTTTTTTCCGAGGTATCGTTTAAGAGATATGACACAAACTTCATCTTTGTCATGTCATTTCAGATTAACCAACCGGCACCTACCTACAGCAAATATCATAAAAGAAATAATTAAATATTTCACTAATGTTCGGTAACTGAATTTAATAGTCTAACGCCCGGTTCATTCTTCTGATAAACTGGTAATGCAATATGACGGATAAACTGGCAATCTATTCATAATCCTATTGGTTGGCCAGTTATCTGCAGACCAATAGGATTAGAGATTGGCAAATTTATCTTGTAGACAGTTAGGCGGTTGACCTTCCGCACATTAGGCAACTGGAAAGAAACATACTAGAAACTTGAATCGTCAATCAGTTGGCTTATTAGTTGCCGCTTGTGTATTTCAATGAGCCGCACACAACACAACTCGCTGGTAACGAAACTCGTCAGTGATCAGTTAGCCGCAACCCGACATGCAGCGTCGCTTCGCGATTAGTTTCTAGTCTCTTGTGAACAAGAACGCAAAACGGCGAAAACTGGAGAACAATCTTTTAATTTGAGGCTAGTTCAAATCCTATATGCTCCATGAAGCATTGGATCCCCAATGCTTGGCTCATGGTAGGTGTTATTGTCACAACCCCTATACGTTTCGTCCTGGGACGTCACAACAGGAGCGTGTCCTGGGGGCGTAGGTGGGGTTCAGGTAGAGAGAAACTCGCTTGGTATAGGTATAATCTGCTAAACTAGCGTGCCCCCCGCCAAGTTCGCGCTCTGTTGTATACCTTTTCCCGAAACAACTCGGGTCATTTTCGACCTACCTGTAACTCAGCTTTGAAGTGTTCTAGAAAACTGAAATTATGCACAGTCGTACATCTTTATAGATCTAATACCAAAACGAAATTTCATCGATTTCCATCAACCAACAAAAAAGTCACATTGCCTTAAAAAACGCCAATTTTGTCACTCACTCATGTATAGTTCATCAAAATTCTAAGCTGGGTACTTCCAAACATGATAGAAGGCTGAAATTTGGCTGGTATAAGATATGTATTGAAATTGTATCACGACGTCCCTTCTACGGAGGAACGTACTACTTATAGGCCACTCTGTATTATGTACCCTCTGTACACTTGGCGTGACTGAAGGCTGAAGCTGGGTTTGAGACAGGTTCAGAAGGGCGTTTCCCACTAAAGGTAGTTTGCACTGGACCTAGTCTGCTGCGTTCAATACTCCCAGAAGGGCGTTTCCCATTGAAGGTAGTTTTTACTGGAAGGAGACTTAGCTAGAGGGGCTTTTCCCAATTGAGGTTCTTTGCATTAGCCTTAGTCTGCCGGTAATGGATTTCGGCGTGGTATTTATACCAAATTAATGCTAACTCGTCGACACACTTTAGTAAAATTGATGTACAGAGTGGTATTTACTTAAGTAGGTAGTTGACAATATTGCGACCGCGTTGTAATCCTTGACCAAGTCCATACATGGCCGTCTATACTCCTCGGTATGTTCTTTATTCACTCAAGGCCTAAGCAGGGTCCGGTACAAAAAACCAGCGACCATGGATTTTCAATATAAACTTTGAACAGAATTACCCATAATTAGAAAAAAAAAAGAATTTTGACTCCATGTTGAAAAGGTCTGCGCACAACCAATTCCTGTCCCCTTCCAGGACATGTTTGTCCCTGTAAAGGTATGAATCGTCCCCAGAGAAGAGAGCCAGGTCCAGCTTACTCACATCGAACAAAGTGCATATCATTCCCATCAAAACCATCGTATTGCCGATGAATGTGGCCGCATCCCCAAATCTTCTCTGATAATAAACCCAAGCGTTCACGCCATTTGCTGCATCATTCAACACTGCATCAACGTGCGCATTATACCATAAGGTTAGCACCCATTCAGGCACGCCCATCATCCTATAAATTTCGATTTCAAAGAGCAGTAGAAGCTTACCCTGGTTTTTGTCGATTTTTCCCATATCAATCTCCAAGGAACACTTCCTCTCATCATCATACAACTCAGAAGTCAATTCAATATCCATGTCCAGAGCTTCACAGAAATCCTGAGGTGATTTGTCGCAAAATATCCTCACGATTCTCTCAAGTGTTGAAACCAATCTCCTTTTCACCTCCCTGAATATTCGGCACATTATTGCATTGACGTCTTTCTCCGAATATATGATAGTCTGCAATGAAGCGTATTCGTACGGTGCACTTCTATCCAGTGTAGGCTTAACCGTGGGTTTACTCATGAATTTGTAAGGTCCGTTTCACCAGGGTTCATACTTGACCTTGAAACTTGAAAAAAAAGGGTTGTCGTAGATTAATTCGTCTGACACATTCAATTTTTTGACAAATTAAAATGAATGACTTCTGGTTTAAGAACCGACGAACATTTTTGACGTCATTGATTTGTTTCACTGAATTTTTATTTGTTAAACAAGGAAGGCAAATGCTGGTGGCTAGTACAAACCCTGGTGAAACAAACTTTAGTTATTTAGCCATTTACTCCAGATTGGTACCTCAGTCTCTAACCTGTTCCTGACATCCCTTGGCTGACCATCCAACCACTCTCTCATGGAATGAACATTTACCTGTATGGAATTATTACGGTACAACCTCGACATCTCCACACCGTCACTATCCATACATTGACTTACGAATCTCTCTACCATCATGGACAATAATAAATTTTCTCCTCGACCAAACACTGAAGATCCGGTAGTTTCCCTCTGCGAAGTGGTCCTAGAGTTAGGTTGAGCTGTTTGCAAATTTGGTTGCATACAATCGTATTTCTTTTCCTTGAATCTATCTGTTATCAGGTCGAAACTAACTTCCTCCCAAGTGTTTTCTTGTCCTCACTTCCATTGTTAAAGGTAAAATTAAAGTTTAGTAATCTACGGTTGTTTAAGGGTCATTTGGAGACCAATAAATAATTGTTTTCTGCAAATTAAACTGTTTACTGATAATTTTCCCACTTCAAGAAATTTCAAACAAACCAGCTATATAAAAAAAAAAAACCAAATTAAGAATATTTATATCTGGACAAAACATTGGTCCTTCGAGCCGGATTTCAGGAGCTGATTTGTTGGTTTTTCATTGAAGGACTTAGCAGAAAATTCAGGTAAAAGTATACCAAAGTGACATTTCGCAGGAAGTTCAAAAGGAAAAAAGGTTACAAAGGATTTTCAACGACTGAAAAGGATTTTCATCAAATACAAAAGGAGTTTATCTTCGAGGAAAACAGGGAGAAGAAAGAAGGGTGCATTTTCTTCAGACAAGGAAGTTTTCATGTCACTATTGAACGGAAAATAAGGTCGTATAAAACTTTTCTATTTTATGCCAGTGTTCAAAGGTTATTTCGTGTTCTCACTGTGTATTAGGGTGCATGTACATTCAATTTTATTACTTTCAATTTTGAATTTATCAGACTCTTAGCGAATTTTAGAATCATTCAGTGTACTTCTGGTACAATATTAGTTAGTTTGCATATCATTTTGTAAGAAAAGTATTAGTCATTGTATTAAAATGGCTGAAGCCCAAGCTGAATTTGCTGCTCTAACTCAAAAAAGAAGTAGAATAAAATCAAAATTAACAAGACTTGAGAATTATACAAAGGCTAATGAAACTGATATGCTTATTGACATCAATGAATTTGTAATTAGGGAGGCTATGTTAGTAAAATCTTTTGGAGAATATAAAACTGTTCAGGATAGAATGGAGGAAATTGATAGTACTCAGGAGGAGGATAGGGTTAAAATTGAATTACAGTACACCTCTTTACACAGTAAACTTAAAACAATTATTAAAAATAAAATAGATTATAATAATATGCATGCAAGTAGAAAAGGTTTGAGCGGTTCTGAGTGTAGTACTGGTGTCAGTTCTAATAATGTGCAATCAACAAGGTTCAAAAATTTTTATATCTTAAATCAGTTTTAAAAGATGAACCTCTTTTGCTGATAAAAGATCTACAAATTACTGAAGCTAATTATGATATTGCGATCGATTTGTTGCGTAAACGTTACGATAACAAATTGGTTACAATCAATACCCACATTAAGGTTTTATTAGAAGCGCAAGTTGTAAAAGGTAGTTCAGTCGCCCTAAGGGATTTCATAGTTAAAGTTAGGCAAAATTATAATGCATTGGTGGCGTTGGGGGTTCCTGTAGATAAATGGGATCTCATCTTAGTTCACATTTTAGCATCCAAACTGGATTATGATACGCACAGAACATACGAATTACAAAGGGATTCTGGGGTAGGTACTTCCCACTTTTGACGCGTTTCTTGATTTTATAGACAAAAGATCTTTGGCTCTTGAAGCAATAGCAGCACCTGACAACAAACAAAAGTTTTTAAAAAATAGCTTTCATTCAACAAATCCTTCTGCTTCTGATTCTTTTACAGGAAATAAGGCCAAATGCGCATGTTGTGAAATGGGTTTTCATCCAATGTACAAAT